TGAAATAGGTTTTGCATTTTGTTCCATTTCTTGAATTGGGTTTTGCATTTTGTTCTATTTTGATCAGCATTCATGATTGTGTTAATTTTTCTTTCATTTATGCCATTTTGTTAATTTTTTATTTTTTCAATTGGGTTCCAGTGATTTTCAATATAAGGAGTTTTCCCTCATTAATGAGTATTTCATCTGAAAATGGATTGGATATTGGATTTGCTGTAGTTATGTAATTCAATTAATGGTTTCTTGAACATTTAAACTAAAATGGGATAACATTTAATGGTCTTTGATTAATGACTTTTTTTTTATTTACAGGCTCATGCTGAGTACAATTTTGGAGCAATTTGCTTCTGCTTGGCTATGAATTACTTGGACAGATTTTTATCTGTTTATGATTTTCCAGTGAGTTCTTTGCAAAGTAAAATTTGATTTTTACTTTTAATTAGCAGCTTGTATGACAGTTAAAAAAAAACTGATTTTTCTACTCTTTAATTTTAATAGACAGGTAAAACATGGGCAATTCAATTGGTGGCTGTGGCTTGTTTATCACTAGCAGCCAAAATGGAGGAGATTGAAGTCCCTTCCACAGTGGACTTACAGGTGAAATTAACATAAGATTATATTGGGCTTTCGATATTTTCCCGAACAGATTGGTGGAAAAGGATTTCGACTCTGTATTTATTGGGGAGGTAATATTGAGCATCACTTGAACACGAGGGTGATCCTTGGCCCAAATGATTGGTGTTTGGGGTGGATTCTCGATCCTGATCCTGGGTGATACAGGGCTAGATTGCAGGATTGTTCCTCTCCTATCAGCTATAGCTTTTGGAAAGCAGGCTTATAACAAGTTTTGGTAGGGAAGATTGATTGGAATAGATAATACTAATAATGAAGAATGAAACTAAAATTGTATTCATTATACTATCTAATTTGCGTTCAATACTATGTACTAAATATGCTCGTAATTTGTTAAGGTGTTGAATTATTGTGATTGACAATATGTTTGTATGTTATAGGTGGGGGAACCAAAATTTGTGTTTGAAGGGAAAACCATACAAAAAATGGAGCTTTTGATATTGGGTATCCTGAAGTGGAAAATGCAAGCTTATACGCCATGCAGTTTCATAGACCATTTCCTTGAGAAGATCAATGATGATGAACATCCATCAGGGCCATTGATTACTAGATCAATTCAACTCATCATGAACACAATCAAAGGTCCCTCTTTAACGTGTGATATATAGTATAGTTCTGTATTGAAGATAATGTACTTTTTGGTTCTAGCATTTTAAGTGTTTGATTCAGTGCTTGATTGGGAATTGAATGCAGGTATTGATTTCTTGGAATTCAGGCCTTCTGAAATAGCTGCAGCAGTGGCAATTCATGTTTCAGGGGAAATACAAGCAACAAACATTGATAAGGCACTGTCTGGTATCATGCTAGTAGAGAAGGTAATTTATTTTGGTCCCCACTTTAATAAAACCTTAGACAAGACAATCCTTTTTTGCTTGGTATAGTCATTTTCAGGTTTAAGAACATGTTTGGTATGCAATACTAGACAACACTTTACATAACAATGAACAAGATATACTAGATTATTGACACCCACCCACTTGGGTGACGCCTTAGAAGACAAGTTTTGTTCCTTGCTTTAGTTATATCAACTTCACGATCATATTTGGTATGCAGTACTAGACAATTTTACAAATAACGAGGCAAAAGATTTTTCAACTTCTTTTGTTTCTTAACTATCTAGTCCAGCAGACCGAATATCATATATAGGTTTAGGAACTTAGTTGTCTAACGTACTAACAACTTCTCTTTCAGTATAGTGTTGTTCAGTACATTTAATCTGTCATACCCCCCGTCGTATATATATTATATATAGCAACTTAGTGGTTTGTGGGATTTGCAGGAAAGAGTGATGAAGTGTCTTGAACTGATTCAAGATTTGACAACAATTAGTGGGACAAGTGCTGCTAGTAATGTGCCACAAAGTCCCAATGGGGTGTTGGAGGTTACATGCTTGAGCTACAAAAGTGATGAAACAACAGTTGAGTCATGTTTAAATTCTTCACACACTAAACGGAGAAGATTGGACCACCAACTTTAGAAAAAGGTGAATTCAAGTGAAATATATTTTCTTTTACACCCCCAACAAATCCAAAATCAGTCTTGGTGAATGGACTGAAAAAAGTGCCCATTAGAAAAAAACAAAGAATTTGATGGGTTGAAAAAAGAGGAAGAGGTCCCATGCTTTGAGCATGAAAAGAAATGTTCTTAGCTGTCAATGATCAGACATGTCAATAAAAACAGCAATTATAAAATGGTGGAGAGAACAAATTTTTGGGAATTAGAGCCACATTTTGTGTCTGTGGTAAGGAGGAGAAAATTTGCAAAAATAAAAAAATAAAAAATGAAAAATAAAAAAAATAAAGCTATGGGGTTCAAGTTGATTTAAAGTTTTGTATACTTGATTTTAATATCCAGTCATAGCATGTATCCCCTCTCCATAAGAGTTCTTTCTTCTTCTTGTCTTATTCTTGATGATGCTCGTGTTACATGAATCCGATATAGCATGTTTAGTAAATTGAATTGGATAGGATATAACATCGTAATATTTCTTCTTTTAGCTCGTTCAATATATTCGGAGCTTGTTTAGGAGATATTTTTTTGAAAAGAAAAATGATTGTTTTAGAGAATGTTTAGTTAAAAAGTAGAAAAATATTGAGTCGTACAGAATGAGGTTGAAAATGATTTTAAAAAAAAAAAAAAATCTTGAAAAAAAAAGTTCTTAATCTAGTATACTTTGACATGTTGTATGTACAAATCAAATCATGTGCAACATAAATTTTTTCTTGTCCTAGTTCCTAAAATTGTATGGTATATCAACAGTAGAATTTTTATTTTTTCACGGCCATAACTTTTAAAAATTTACTAATCCATCTTGTATTTTTAGGGGAAAATTGCACCATTGGTCCCGAACTCTTAAATTACAAATACTGGTCATCAACCTTTCATTTTGAAACATAATTGCACAATAAACCCTTAATGATAGAAGTTATTTAAAAAAAATCATCCTCGTGATCTTTATATATCTAATTTTATGTAGAAATTACTTCACAATTTGGGTTGAAGCTCAAAAATCTCAACCGAGATGGTTTAGGGTTTACGTGATAATCTAAAAAAGAAGTTGGCGATTTTCGTCTAGGTAGTACAGAAACGAAAATCAAAATGCCACGCAACGCGACAAGTGAAAATATCATTTTCTAAATTAAAAAAAAAAAAAGACATGAAACATTGTGAAAATTGGAAAAGTTGTATGCAAAATTATATTATATTTTTATAAATTTAATGTGAATTTTGAAAAATATTTAAGACATTAATTTAAATTATAATCAATTGTTAATATTAGTAGTGCAAGGATTGAAGCTAACAATTAAGCTCTTGTTTTACCTCCATTATTTTCAAAATATATTTTTTCATATCTTCTTTTCGACGACATATTTTTCAATAAAATAATATTATACCAAAATTTTTCCTTATTTTTCAACTACTCATTCTCTATTAATCTGATTTTTTAAAATGTATTCTTAAGAACAAAGAAGACTCAAACAGGCCTTTAATTTCGATCTAATCCGCAACAAAGTCCACAATCAAATATAATTCTTAAGAACGATGCTATTTAGAAATGTTTCTTAGAGTTTTCGAAGAGTTTCAATTTACAAAATGTGTTTACAACCAAATGCTTATGTTCTAGAAGTTTTTGAGCGATCTAACTTTTCTTCATTGAAAAATTGAAGATTAATCGTACAACCTTAATAAATAATTGAAAATGGAAGCAATGACAAGCAGTGTGATGAAATTAGGGCATGCATGTCAGACGGGGGAATTCCAATTTCCAATTGGGTAGACAATGACAACCAAACAAATGCGGTGTCGTTTAGTACGGCTTTGGGTACAGATTACTTATCATGTTCTTTTTGGGATCTGAAAATAGGCATGTGGGCCCCAAGCCCAGGCCCACCAACACTTTTTTGTATTGTATGACTGGTCAACATCTGGGTTTTTGTTCTCAAACAATATAAAGAAGGGTAGAGGATAACTGTAGGATCAGAGACCTTGGAAACACAATAGGTCAAATTATATTGTGATGAGTTTTAAAAATCAACCATGCTACGTGTAGATCCATCAAACTCATTGATTTTGAACCATCTATCACATCACTGTACATATTTCTTGCATGTAAGGAGAGATGCCGACAAAGGTGTAAAGCACAATGTACATAGGGATGTCAATCGAGTCGAGCGGCTCGTCGGCTCGGCTCGTACTATTCATGCCCACGAGCCGCTTAAAAGACGAGCCCGAGCACGAGCCAAGCTGTTCACGAGCTGCTCGGCGAGCGGCTCACCGAGCAGCTCGTGGGCTCGTGTATATACTAAAAAAAAAAAAAATTAAAATCAACAAAGTGACTAGAACGGTCACTGAAACCGGTCACTTGTGACCAAACGGTCA